CCGCGCTGTGGCGGCGCCGCGCCGCCTGCACCGACCCCGCAAAGGCGGGAGCGCAGCGCCAACGCCGCCGCCGGGGCTGGACGCTGCCGGGCACGTTGTGGTGTGGGGCCGGGGACTCGGCAGGGAACTGGAGCGAGCTGGGTACGGGGCGGCGGGGGGGTGGCGCGGGAACCTGGGCTCCCTCCGAGGGGCCGCGCTCACCGGCGCCTCCGCAGGGCTGTTCCGCGGCCCCGATCGGTGCTGCCGGGAGCACGACCAGTGTTGGGCGCAGATCACGGCGCTGCAGTTCAACTACGGCATCCGCAACTACCGCCTGCACACCGTGTCCCACTGCGACTGCGACGCCAGGTGCGCCCAGGGCCGGGGGAGGGGCACCGGGAGGGCTGGGGACACCAGCCCCGCTCACCGATCCCTGCCTGCAGGTTCCGGCATTGCCTGCTCGCCATCAACGACACCGTGTCCAACATCATCGGCGTCACCTTCTTCAACCTGCTGGAGGTGCCGTGCTTCGTGCTGGAAGAGAGCGAGGAGTGCATCCAGTGGCATTGGTGGGGCGGGTGAGTGCCTGGGGGGGCCCCGGTCCCCAGTGCGCCCTGCCTAGCTGCCCTACCGGGCATGGCTTGGCTGGGCTGGTGTGCAGGGCCTCACAGCATGTGGTGTCCCCAGGTGTGAGCGTTACGGTGTTGTACCCTTGGCCAGGATGGTGCAGCAGAGTCAGTACCACCCCAGCCTGCCCGCAGAGGAGAGAGGCAGCTCTGCTGCACAGCCCCCAGGTAAGGGAAGGAATTCCTCTAGAGCAGGGCGCAAGCGGCTCCGACAGGAACTGGAGCCGAAGCCTGGGCGCCGCCAGGCACGGAGACCTGAGACAGCCCAGCAGGACCCAGGTATCCCTGCATTGGCCAGGGACAAGGCTGAGCCCACAGCCAGGCACCGAGCAGCGCAGCAAGGGCTGAAGCCTGGCCCCCCAACAGTACTGACCATGTTGGGACAGGATCCAGCTGGAGCAAGGAGCGCACTGGGAGGAGCAGAGCAAGGAGTTGAGGGCTTGGCCCACCCTTGGGATGGCAGTGTGAGACCCAGCCCAACCACAGCAGCATGGAGTGGGGCCATCCCAGTGCCCACTGTGGAGGAGTGCAGGCAGCAGGGTGAGCTGGAGCCATGGGTAGAGCATGCACCACAGCTGGGGTGTCTCAAGGCCTCAGCCTGGTGGGGTCATATGCTGGGGGGTGCCCTTCACCTCCCTGCTCTCCTCAGGCCCAGGCAGGGTGTGCAGATGCTACAAGCACCTGGGTAAATGTGAGCACCAGATTGCACCCCATGAGGTGAGGTACCAGCTGCACAACCTGAACAGCCAGACACTCTTCCACTGCAACTGCACCCGCAGGTGCGTGTCCAGGAGGAAAAGGGCACTGTGTGCAGACAGTTTCGGATCAGAGGAGGTGGGATGTCCACCCTGGCCAACACCTGCTGACCACAGCCCTCCTGTGCCTGCAGGCTGGCGCAGTGCCTGCGTAGGGTGAGGAACTGCAGTAACGTGGAGGTGGCTGTCCTGGCTAACCACATTGCCACACACTGCTTTGTTCTAGAGCAGCTTGCTGCCTGCAGCCCAGGCAGGGGTTCTCAGGACAGGTAAGTGCCAAGAATCAAGGGGCTGTGGCCTGTGTGGGGCATGAAGCCAGGAGTGTAAGCACTGGCCCCTGCTCTGCCATGCCATGAGCAGGCTGCAGGGCAGGCAGTGGCTGTCAGTGCTGCAGGGTTACACTGACATGCCCAGCTTTGCTTCTGTAGCAGCTGTACCACAGTGACGAGGGCTGTGCTTTTACCTGCAAAGCGGCTCAAAAAGACCCTGAGGCGTTGGGGCCCTCTTCATGTGAGCTCCAAGACCAAGCATCCAGACTGGAAGACACAGGCCCGGGGAGGCAGCCTCTGTGAGCAGTGCCAGCACCTGGCCATGAAGCAGGGGCCGGGTGCTCAGCCCCACACAGTGCCCCGATGATGCCTGAGCAGTGTGCTGCCTTGGGAAGGAAGGGGAGGAAGATGTGCTGTGCAGTAGCTGCAGCCTACAGCTGCTTGGTTCCCGGTCCTTTAGACAAAGGATAGCACTGAGCACGGCTGCTGGCATGACTGCATGGAGCTGGGGACCACAGCCAGAGCAGGCAGAGGGACTGAGAAGACTCAAGGAGTTGTGGTTGCCATCCATGAGCATCAAAGTAAGGGGAAAAAAATAGGAGGGCTCAGGAAAGGGGAAACTTATTGTTTTCCCTTCCCTGTTCTGCTCTGGGGCCAGGGGGATGGCAGGGCCCCCCACCCCTATATTGGTGACCCTTCAACCGGGGGCCTGAACAGTGAGGTGTGATCCTGACCCCCTTGCCTAGGCACAGTAGGATGGCTGGGGTCAGTCTATGCTTGCAGCAGAAGATAAATAAAGAATTGTCAGAGCATGGTCTATGGTGCCAGGGTTGAGCCTTCTGCCCCCTGTTCACGCTGCAGCCCCCACCCCCAGGGCTGATCCTGCCCTCTGGCAGTGACCACAGTGCAGCTGGAGTGGGCAGGATCGTTTATTTTGTTGCTTGCACTATGTCCAGGCTGAGGCACAGTGGTAGAGCAGGAAAGGAGCAAGCTTTGATCTCTGGGGTACCCTGGGATGGTCCTCGCTCTGTGCCCATCACCATTCCTGCCAGAGCCCTGCCTTGGCCTCCCCTGCCACCTTGGGTGCAAGGCCAGCACTCCTGTCATGGGACTGAAGAATCCTGCATGTGGAAGTTCATGAGGGTCTCCCCAAACTGCCCTAGACCAGCTTTGCCCACCCTCCCCTGGGTCACCTCCCAGCCCTGCCCTGGGAAGTAGCTTGGGCTGAGGGGAGCAGAGGGGAGTACCCCTACCTGCCAGGCACACAACAGGGGTGAGGAGTCACTGCAATAAATAAGGGAGGGGGTGTCTTAGCAGGAAAGTGGCAGAGGAAAGCACACAGCAAGCGCGCTATGGGGAGGAGGAAGGGGGCCACTGCATCAGCGGCCCATGGCACAGCTATGGCTGTCCATTTCCTGGGGGCTGCAGCCCTCTTTTGGGGATGTGCCACAGCCTGGGGGGCTGGTGGGGCTCATCCTCCGGCAGGGATAATAGCCCTGATCCACATTGTCTTGCCGCCAGCCCAGAGCCTTGTCAATCATCTCCAGGCGGAGTGCAGGCAGCAGGCCCAGGTTCCGAGGGTCAGCCCTGGCCAGTGGGCTGTCAGTGGAGACACGCTGGGGGCCACCCTGCTCCTGTACAGTCTGGCAGAAAGAGCTGCTCTCCAGGCTGTCGGCTGCCTGCCTCAGCTCCTTGCCTTTGGCTCCACAGCACCCCAGCTCTTCCTGGGGCACATGGATGGTGGGGATATCCCTGGGGAGGCCGCAGCGGCTCTGGGGCGAGGGGCGGCGGCTCTGGGGCGAGGGGCTGCGGCTCGTTCCCCTGTCCCGGCTTGATGGCCGCAGGATGAGACCCTGGAACTTGGCCAGGCTTGGGCTTCGGCTCCGGTGCCGTTTCATCTTGCCCGGGCTGGGGCTACGGGATTTGGGGGCCAACAGGACAAGTGTACTGTCATCCTCTTCTGAGCTGCTGCCTGAGCTGTCCGTGGGGCTGCTGCCCTCCTCTGACCTAGGCAGGGAGATCTGCACCCCTGCATCAGCACTGCTGGCTGACTCTCACAGGGGGCTGTGGGGTACCACAGCAGCTGGTCTCCCCCAGCCAGGGATCCCCACATACATCCCTCCCCCAGCCCCTCACCTTCATCTCTTGGCTGTGCTCACCTGGAAGGGCTCAGTCACACCAGCGATGCTGCTGCAGGTGTTGCTGTAGTATCCAAGGATGTACTCGCCGTTTCCCTTGGGCAGCGCTTCCTCAGAGAACATCACCTGCAGCCCAGAAACACCCGGTGGACACCAGGGCTGGGCACAGGGATGCCCCCTCCCACCTCCAGCCCCAGCCAAAAGCACAAATTCCTGCTGCCAGCACCACGGGCCTGCCAGAGGCTCAGCACAAAGCAATAAGGTGGCCTCCGCCCCCATCCAGGGGCACGAAGGGGCCATTGTTCCCCCACAGTGAGACAGATGTGCCAGCAGGGCTGGCCCCAGCTCACCTGTGCACAGAGCTGCTTCTCTAGGCAGCGCTCCCCATCATCACTCCTGGCCCAGACATAGGACACGTAGTCTTTAGGGTGCCGAAAGCCTACCTGTGTTACATAGGAGAACACAGGTGAGTGGGGGAACATCAGCCCCACTTGGCACCATCACCCATGCCTGGCCTGCACTCTCTGCTTACACCAGGGAGACCCAGAGCTGCCTCACACCCCCCAGGTGTACCAGGGCCCTGTGGGGCCTGTGGAGCAGGAGGAAGAGGGAACTGCTGGACCTGAGCCTCCTGAAGCAGGGCCACATCATGCTGCCAGGGGAAGAGAGGGCACAGCTCCACGCCGTGCACCCATGTTCGCTGGTGAGGGGTAGCTCAGAAGGGACCCCCGCAGTGCTGTGCAGTGCTCCCCACTCCCTCCAGCCCCAGCAGCCCCCAAGCCCCTACCCGGTAGAGTCCTATCCAGTCCCAGGAGCTCCGGTGGAAGCCAACAGCCATCTTGTACCTGACAACTGCTTGCTCAGGCCTGCTCCACTCGTCAGCCACATAAATCTCAACCGGGGGCTTGTCCACCTTGGAAGCAAACTGTCAGAGACAGGTACATGGTGAGCAAGGGCATGGCAAAGAGCTGCCCCTGTTGCCCAGCGGCACCTCTCTGGGTCTGGGCCCCCATGCATACACCCACAGCAGCCCCCAGCCAGGGGCAAGGCAGCTGAGTTTGCCGAACAGAAATAAAGTACGCCACCCCCCACAGAAGCTGGGCATCCCACCCCTGCAGCTCCTGTCTGCATTCCCACCAGCCCTGGACAGTGCTCACCTGCACAGCAAAGATGGCAGCTACTGGCTTGTGGTCGCTGACGGTGTACTCCATGTGGCTGCAGTAGCAGAGCTGGCTCACCGACAGCACGCCCCGGCTGGGCCGGTGCCTGCCTGCCCCCAGCCCTTTGCTGGGGGATTTGATCTTCCACAGAATGCGGTCAGTCCAGGCAGGTTTTCGCTTCTTGGCACTGCAGGGCACAGAGGGGCATCTCTTGCCTGGCAGGGGCAGGGGGCTCTGACCCAAACTGCCTCCCCCTGGCACTACAGCATGCATGGGCAGAGGGGGAGCTCATCTTGGTACTTAGCTCAGCGTGGCTGCAGGGATAGACCTGTACTGGCACCAGCACTGCAGTCATGTCCCAGTCCAGTCCATGCCTGCCCCAGCACAGCTGCTCCCCCCACCCATCCGCACAAGCATCCACCCTGGCTCTGAGCCTCACTGCTCCTGCATCCCTCTCCCCCAGCTCACGCCCAGCTCTGCTCTACTACCTGCTGTCGTACTTGTTGGTGCCAACATCAAATTTAAAGGTGGGTGGGAAGTTCAGGGGTCCCTCCTGAAAGCCTCTGAGAACAGGCCAGGTGCTTTTGGCAATGTTCAGCTGCGGGAAAGAGAGAAGGTAAAGAGCACACCAGCCCCCATGATCAGACCAAGATCTCTCTGGTCTCACACAGTCACATCCTTGCCCCATTCCTGCCACGTCCCACAGCTCTCAGGGTTTGTCCATCTATGCCAGCAGCCAGTTTGTAGACCCGGTGCCTCGGGTCTTCCTCACACTAACAAGGGAAGCATGTGCCCAGCTCAGTCTGACCAGGGACTCTGCTGCCTCTTCCCCACAGAGACAAGAGAGCCAGAGCTCCTCATGCCCTATGGGCTGCAAGGGGACATGTCCTGTCCCACAGCTGCACAGACAGTTTTGGGGAGAGTCAAACACTGCTCAGGGCCCAGTGGAGTCTGGCAACGTGCCCATCTCTCACCTGGTCCTTCTCCCAGAGCTGGCTCAGGACGTTGCTGTCAATGGCATACTTCACAAAGCAGATGTCCAGGCTCTCAATGCGGAAATTGAGGTCCCCAAACCAGAACACGAGGCTGTGGGAGAGAGGGCAACGGGCTGAAAGGGCTGAGGCTACTGGAGCTGGGGACAGCAGGGAAAAAATGTCCCCAGACTGTGTGCAGCCTCAGCCTGCAGCACAGGCGCTCTTGGGAGCACTGGCACAGGTCAGCACTCAGCCGGCAGCCTGGCCAGCTGCCAGGAATCTGCAAGGTAGGACTAGGCACCATTAACCAAACCAGACAGACTGCCCTGAGCTGAAATCGAGGGTGGAAATTTCCACAGTGAGACACCCACCAGAGTCAGACTACACAGGCTGTGCAGAGCTGGGCCCTCCACCTCACCAGTCCCAAACCACAACTGGACTAGTATAGCAGGAACTGCACCAGGCCTGAATGTGCCCTTACAGGAGACCAAAGACCCCTCTAAACACCTATCCCCGCCCCCCATGCTGAGTTCCCACTGAGCCACGGGACAATTCTGTAGGCAAGACCTGATCTCCAGGCTATGCTGGGATGCAGAGGTCAGACCCCAGACCCTACATGGGGGGGGGTCAAGGACTGGGGCTGGCACTAGAGCCCAGACTGGTGAGCAAAGTGGTGGGGTACGCACTCGTGGTCCAGGATGCCGTTGGCCACACGCCCCTCAAACTGCTGCATGTGCAGTATGGTGGCAAAGTCCTCCTTGCGCTGCTCCGCCTTCTCCAGGTGCGCTGGCAGGTGGCAGTTCAGGAAGCAGACCATGTGGCCGAAGATGGAGAGACGAACACTCACCCCACCCTTGTTGCCCTGCACCGAGAGGATCCCATGACTCCTTGGGAAGCCAGCCCCTTGCCACCTTCCCCCAGGGCCACACTCACCCAGTAGCCTCCTAGCCCCGTCCTGGTACAATCTGTCTGGATGTCCTGCAGAAAGGGCAGGTGGTAGTACTTGGCAAACACCAGCAGGATCACACCTTGCATCCGCACCGTGCTGACCTGGAATGAGAGCAGGAGCTGGAGCAGGATGGTAGAGAGCCCACAGGGGCCATGAGGCAGCACCTCCATCCTTCGTGTGCCCCCCCATCCTGCAGGTGACTAACAGCATGTTCAGTTCAGAGATCTGTGTGCACCCTTCTGAACACCAACAGCCAAGCCTGAGCCTCAGAGATGTTGGGCTTACATATGTTCTGGGGTGAGTGCCTCTGGGAGCCGAACCTGCCTCCATGCCCACAAGCTGCTGTCAGCAGCACAGGCCAGTTCCCACATTCACCTCTGGACCCTGGTTCAATGCAGCAGGCCACAAGAAGTGGCCCCAAAGCTCCAGAGGGGAAGCATAAGCATAGGAAAAGGAGCAGGGTGGCACAAGCCAGACAGCTCACTGGCAAGGTGCAGCACTGGCCCCCACATACTGTTTGGAGGCTACAGGCTGTCTCTCCAGCCAGCTCTCCCACCGCACCTCCCTCTGCCCTGCAGTCCAACTCTCCCTCC